CCTAAGCCGGCTCAGCCCATGCCTGCTGGGAAGAAGGTATTGTGTGTAATTGGAAAGTAAATATATGTTTATCTTTATTATTGATGCTGCTCATCTGTTTGACTAGATTTAGCATTAATTCAGTGTTCCTTTGATGCTTCTGCTACCTTTTCAGCTAACATTAAATTAGTAACATTAGTGTGAAGAAAAATTTCAGACAGGAATGAGTGATGTGAACGAAATAAGATTGCCTTATTGTCTTAAGACGATGTCATGTGTCAACTGCACTGAACTGCCTCAGTTTTGTCATCAATTGGCAATACCTGTTTGGACACAGGATAAGGCTAAGGACCGGAAGTTTTGGAAACCAGCCAGCTCCCTCTTTCACAAACTAATCTTACCAACCTGACTTCTCAACATAACTGTCATCCATCTCTCTCAACTGCAACCAATTGTTCCTTGACCACTTTTAGCCCTGTCCATCTCTGTAACCTCATCCTACTCTACGACCCTTTAAGGTGTCAGTCCTTCTGCAATACTGCCCCCGATGCATCCCTGATTTTAATTGCTCCTCCATTGACAGCCATATGTTCAGCTGCTTATGCCCAAAACTCTATAAATCCCCTTATTAAATCTATTCTTTCTTTGTTCTCTTCCCCTCCTCTCAGGCCTTCTCTAAAACCTGCATCTCATTTCTCTTGTGTGATTTGATACCAATTTATTTTTCATCCCCCTCCAATAATGCACCTTTGAATGCTTTACTTTGATAAAGCTGCCATATAAATACAGGCCATTTACTAAAAGTAAGTCTAACTTTGTATCTCTGTCAGTTGCAGTCGTCACCCACAATGCCAATTGCTGAAGGAACAGACAGTGATGAAGAATTGCCTTGGTGCTGTATCTGCAATAATGATGCTGTGGTCCGTTGTCGTGACTGCGATGGAGATCTCTATTGCCAGAGATGCTTTAGGTAAGAATGGCTGATTAGCTGCTGTGTGCTGCATCTCACTTACCATTCCAAAACAACATGTTGAAGCCACCTACTGCCTGCCACCATGGTTAATGATGACTGAAGAAGCAAAGGAGTCTTATCATTGTTATTTTGGAATTTAACACACAGCATGAAATCGAGATAGAGACCAATTCCAGTCATTGAAAAGTGCTGCGTCAATTAACATTAACCTGGATTGCAGCTTTTTAGCATATTAACCCAAGATATTCTGCTTCTTTTACACAATTGATTTCTCTTATTTGCTATCTTTCTTGGTAATAACGTAACTTTTAAACAATTATCATGTCAATTTATCTCCGCAGGGAAGGCCATGATAAATTTGAAAGAAAAGAACACAGAACATCCAAGTACCATCCACCAAACAAGAAGAAATAACATCCACGTCAACATCCCTGTGGAATCTCCCACAGTCGGACACTAAAGAAGTTTAAAATATAGCATTTTCGCACCTTCTAATTCAGTTAAGAGTGACCAAGAGCAAAGTGTGACAGGGGGAGCAACTTAAGAAATTTCAAGGCACATTGCTGTGCCAGTAGCCAGCTCCTGACTGAAAAGCATCTAGATTTGTCTTTTTTTGTGTTATGTTCCTGGGTGTCTGCTGCGCCATTACAATTTTTTGTCAATCTTTTGTGCATTGCTTAGGTGGCCATAGCAACACCTTGTCCAAGGATCTCTTTTGATTTGGAAATGCTGTGCATTAACAGGTTAACTGATGCTCAGCTTACATTCTGAATCCAATTTTGAATAGGTTAATTAGAAATAAAAGGGATGCAGGCAGAGGTTTATGTTGGAGTTCATTGAAATCAATGTTGGGTAACAGAATGAAATTCTGTTATAACTTGAGATATTTATATATGTACGCACAACTGAAAATAATAATTTAATGTTTGCCCTCCCTAAGCAATCATTAGCAATAGGCTGACATTTTGTTAGTGGAAATAGATTACAACTTTGTGTTTTTTGAAAGCTGCAATGTTTTTAATCCTCAATCGTTGCCATACTGTGGGTCTATGAATACCAAGTTCATAACCAAAACTATCGGGAGAAATGTAAGAATGAGTCTAGTACAATATGAACCTGTCTGAGTTTTCATTTCCGTTCTCCTCATGTGAACATGTTTGGCTCCTACTTGATGTCTTTGCACAGTGCCAGCTGTGTTAATGTAATGACCTCCAGTAAAGTGGCCAATCAGCCTTGGTCAACACTACTTAAACTATCTGCTTGTCACCTTTCCTGAACTCCTCTCCTGAATACTGAAAGATCTGGAGCTGCTTGGGAGACCAATCTACTGATTCCAAATCACATAACATATTTGTGTATTTAAGTACTGACAAGCAAAGAAGTTCACAATTAAACATCGTTTTAAAAGAAATAGCTGTGGTTGCTATTTTCAGACTTCTGTAATGCAAGTGGCATATGTACCAATGTTTGATTGAAAATCTGACTGTTACCTAAATAATGCTATGCCTAAGGGTTTATGATATATATTTATATATCTTGCTAAGTTTATATAACAGAGATAGCATGAACTGCAGATGCTGGAGTCGGAGATAACACAGTGTGGAGCTGGAGGAACACGGCAGGCCAGGCAGCATCAGAGGAGCAGGAAAGTTGACATTTCGGGTCCTGCTCCTCTGATGCTGCCTGGCCCACTGTATTCCTGTAGCTTCACACTGTTATCTCAAGTTTATATAACACTTTTTTTAGTTTTGAAACCCACTTCCATATAATACTAATCACAGCTATCTCAGTGATTGCAAGAACTGTCGTCCTCCACGCTGCTATGCTACATTGAGAAGCGAAGTAACTATAACTGTAAACAAAAATCCACTGCATTAAATGGTGAGAGAAAGTTTACCCTAACAGTTTAAAAAGTAGTAACAGTTTCAACTGCAAACCTCATCTTAGCTGGAGTGTATGCATTGTGTCCTAGACAATAAACTACATGAGCTGTAACATTTCCAATGGCTTGGTTGGCATCAGGCCTAAAGAGCAAAGCAGTGAAATAGGAAAATATTGAGGAGTAGGCACTCTGTTTATACAAACATATTATGAATCATCTATCTCCATGCCATTTTTCCAAACATATCACTTTGACAAGTGCTTTGTTTTAATATTCAAAGAAAGAAGCATCTCCTCAGAATTAGAAGTGCCAGTAAAAATTGGATTTCAAAAACACCGATACAAAGATGACTTGAATGCTGAACAACACTAGATGTAAGAGATTTTACAAATGAGCAGCTTGCTGATGGATAAGCAGTGTAGTTAAGGATGTGGCAAGTTTGCTTGCCTTACACAGTATGCTGCCTGATTTCCATGGACTGCATGGCTCTGACATTATCTTCTAAACAGCCGATTGTGTCAAATTACATTATTCAAATAGCAAAGGTCAAAGGTTTGCTTTGCCAATGCAACAAATAAAGGAATCCTTAACAAGTAGGAGCAGACACTGTTTTTCTAATAGTTGACTGATGAGAGTACAAATTCTTAGAAAAGTTGCTGACAAGTGGATTATATGAGTGGCCAGAGCATGATGAATCGAAGAAGTTTTCTTTACAAGTAACACCGTCAAAGTAGTAAGTGTTTTAAGAGATTCCTATACACACTCCCTTGGGGAATGTATTAGCCCAACATGTGTTAAGATACAGGAAATTCTGTTACTAATGTTTACATTCTTGTTAACTTGCAGGTTTTTCTCAGCTACTGAAACAATACTGAACCTTACGTAGAATAGGTAGATAGAACAAAGTTATTTAGACTTTGACATTTTGCATCAAGATTGTGAAAGTCAGAGGAAAATTTTGCAAACCTTATTTTGTCCCAAAACCTCTGGGAACATTTGAGGAATTGGACGAGGAACTGAGTTCAGCAAGAAACTCTGCCATCTTCGAATGAAAAGTTCTGCTCCTTCGATTTTTCAAATTGCTTTTAGTGAATCCCAATTCAAAGATGTAAATATTCCACAAGTTTTAATGCTGCGTCTGTCATAAGAAACTCCACCCTCGCAGCTCTTTCTGTTTGATGGGGTATGGGTATAGTTGACATATGTTGTTCATTTCTAATTGCCTTCAGAACAGAGTAGCTTGCTAACCATTGCAGAAGGGAGGGTGAGTGAAGAACGGGGAAATAGAAGAGAATGCTGAAGAGTGAAGAGAAGGGAGGAGTGTGAAGGAGGGGTGGGGAAGTGAGAAATAGGGTGGGGATAGGGGAGGGAGAGATGGGGGAGTGAGAGGATGAAGGGGGGTGGTAGTGAGGAAAGGAGGAGTGACAAAAGGGAAGGGTAGTGAAGAAGTAGGAGGGCATGGCAATGTGGAGGGTAGAGGAGTGAAGAAATGAGGAGATGGGAGAGACTGAAGGAGAGAAGAGAAGGGGAGGGGTGAGGAACGAAGGGGAAGGCAGAAGGCCTGTCTGGCAGGGTGTGAAGGGGAGGAGTGAGGATCAAAGGAAAAGGCAGGGAGGAGCAAATTACTTCAGATGCTGGAATCTGCACTGAAAACAACAAATGCTGGCGATCACAGTGGGTCAGACAGCATCAGTGGAGAGAGATCAAGATAACTTGTCGAGTCCTAGATGACTCTTCATCAGAGCTGAAGTGAAGTGTAGAGGGGACAGCATTTTATGCTATAGTTTTGAGGGTTGGCAGGGGTGCGTGCGGTTTATGGTGCTGGTGGAGAAAAGATGTTGGTAGTTCAGATTAAGTGATTGGAATGTGAGAATGGCAGAACAATGGTGTATCTAACTGCCAGACTGGAAAGAGTAGATAGTGGGAGGTGGGGTGGGAAGAGGGGAGAGGGAGAGAAGACATGATAACAGAGAATGTAACAAGTAAAGCTAAAAAAAATGGGAAGGAATGCGAGAGATAGGAGGAACTGCAGATGCTGGAGAATCTGAGATATTCTGATTTTCTGAAGAAGGGTCTAGGCCCGAAACGTAAGCCATTTTCTGAAGAAGGGTCTAGGCCTGAAACGTAAGCCATTTTCTGAAGAAGGGTCTAGGCCTGAAACGTCAGCCTTCCTGCTCCTCTGATGCTGCTTGGCCTGCTGTGTTCATCCAGCTCTACACCTTGTTATCTGGGAAGGAATGCGAGTTGGTTCACAATTTGAAGGTGTTGAACTCAATATTTAATCCAAAAGTCTGTAATGTGCCTAGTCCTCCCTACTCATTATCCAAGGCCCTAAACAGTCTTTCCAGGTGAAGCAGCATTTCACCTGTCCCTCCTCCAATCTTGTGTATTTTGTTTGCTGTATCTAATGTGACCTACTCTACATTGGAGAAACCAAACGTGGACTGGGTAACTATTTTGCAGAACACCTCTGGTCTGTACGCAAGCATGACCCTGACCTTCCCATAGCCAGTCATTTTAACACAGCGTCCTGCTTGCATGCCCACGTGTCTATCCTCGGCATGCTGCAGCGTTCTCGTGAATCACAGCGCAAACTCAAGAAGGTGGGGAGGGGCTGACTGGCAGGGAGTGAAAAGAAGGGGTGGGAATTGAAGGAGAAGCCAATGGCAGGGAGTGAGAATATGGAGGGGGAGGGGCAGTGACTGGCAGTGGGCGGCTACTGTGGAGGCTGGGCACAGGCTGCACATAATCCATGCGAGCAAACTAGATGAAGAGAATTGACATTGACGTCAGAGTGGATACTGCTCGCTGCTTATTCCAAAGGGAGCTCTGTATCGGTCAGCAACATCTCCCAGGGCATACTGAATGGGTACCAGCCACACTCACCCCATGTCCCATCCTCTAACAACCTTCACAGCACAATCTCTGATCCACTACCAAGACTGTTTAGTCAAGGGATTTCCAGGATAGTATGTCAAGAGTAGCCTCTGAGACTAGTCCAGAGGCTTGGACATAGATCAGCTGTTTGGGCCATTCAGAGTTAGGATCCCCTCTGCATAAGGGGTGAGGAGCCAATTCAGGCAGCCAAACACCCTCCTTGAGTTTGCTCTTATTGTGGGTTGTTTTACTGGTGGAATGTGTGAGAGAGAAAGGCAGGTATTATGGTAGCTGAAAATGGATGGCACTGCTATCACAGTGGTGTTCTGAGCGAGTGGGTAGACAGCCCAGCGGGTCACGGGGATGGGGAAAGAGACCGTCCCTTGTATGCACAACCCACCCATTTCCTCATGAATCACGCCGCCAATTCTCTGTTGTCTGTCCCAATCCCCCATGCCTGCAACCTTGTGGGTCAGCTTTGAAATGTCACCGCTATTCTATGTCCTTTAAATATGGCAGTTACATAAAGGATGACGGGGTTGGCCAAAATAAACAGGCAGTGGTATGTCTGGACAATGGTCAAGCAGTAGAATTGGGCTAGACTGGATCAGGGCAGGCATGGTCAGAGTTAAAGGCAAGTTTGAGGTGGCAGCGCAAGAGTACCCGCGAGGCCTGGTGGAGAATAACCCTCTGTGAAGCTTCAAGGAAACTGACATATAGCCAAAATGAGAGGAAGATTCAGCTCAAAGTGTTAAACAAGCAGATTTATTTTATTTTTATCATTATAAGCATGTGAAAGCTTATGAGAGCATATATTCATATGTAAGGAATCAATACAATCCTTCACAGATTCTGGATTAGGATCCAATACAGAGTTGTCCACGCAACCAATCCTGAAATATGCTACGAGGAAGATTCCATCATATTGCAGTTGGGTGTCTCTGCTGATACGTTGTAGTTGGATCATTTTGATTCCATCATAATACATATAATCAGGATCAAGATGAATCAGTCCAACAGTGTGTCCAATCTTCTTATGATACCCTTGTCCCAATGAGGCAAATAGAAAGCGATATCTGTGCCAAACACCCAAAAGATATAGTGTTTAATGGATGTTGTTTGGATTACTGCAACATTTATAGAAGATATAGCACTATTACCCTAATCATCCATTTTAGTCCACATCAGGAAATTAGACAAAACATTTATATGGTGATATTTTAGGCAAGCTGAAATGTATTATTTTGTCCAGCTACCTTTTCCAAAGCTCCTATCTGGATTTTTACTGTCACTATACAACCAGTAGCTTTCAATTCTAGCTGCAGACTGGAATTCATCCACTGTTTTAATGTCATAGTATATATTCCATAACTGTTACTTGGTAATCATTGTGTTTCCTATTTTTCAATTAAACCCGGACTAAAAATTGTTTTGACATTCTTAACTTACAGCTTCAGTGTCTTTGTCCAACAGAGGGGCTTTGCTGGATCCAGTTTCTTAATGTTTTCTTCCTTGCTTTTGTACTCTTGCACCATCACTTACAAAGCCAAGCATTCTGTATGCTTTCTTATCAATGCATCTGCCACTGTTAAAAGGATTTGTGAAAATGCTTCTACTCTTGCACCCTCAGTCTAGGTTATGGAGTTTCCATA